AGCCTGGTGAGCAGTGGCTTGTTTCTAATTTTCCTTTTCGATCTCGCAACTTATGGGTTGTTTCAGGCAACTTTTGGTGAAGCAGATGGACATCGAACGTGTATAGACGGGGGTTCTGCAGGAGGTTACACTCCTCAAGCCGCACTGGCCTTCCCATCGTTAGAGAACTTGAAAAAACAAAATTCACGTGCGCCAAAGAAGCCCCGGCTTTAAACTTGCCACGGTATCTCCGACCTTCGCATTTTAGGATCTGTGAGGATCATTGCGTCGTCATCGTCGGCTAGATCGCCTCAGAACAGGCAAGAAAAGAAAGGCTAGCTCGTTCTCTTGGAGCTTACCTGGTTGCGATCGCGCTCATTCCAGCGTCCGCCATTGTCACTTAGTATCGCTCGCCATGCTGCTGCTGGAATGGTGCCATAAATGATTTGAAAGGCCTCGCGTGTCCCACAAATACGAGAAGCACTACATAGGCAAGCTTGTTGGTTCGTTTGTCTCGGCTTCCTCTCACTCATATCTAAAGACTCTAAAATCTCGTGCTTTTTTCCCTCAAAGGTGGTGAGCACGATCAGACGTAGACTTTACAGGTCTTAACGCTGTGTAGGTGGTACCGGCGAAACAATCTCCCATGATTTATGAAGCACTCAAGTCGAAAGGCGTAACAGTCGCGATGGTGGAATACGAAGGCGAGCAGCACGGGTTCCGAAAGGTTTGGAGTCACAAGTGCTATAAAACTCGAATAATATTCTAAGCTCTCGTGTTTCAGGCCGAGACCATTAAGCATTCTCTGGAGCATGAGATGTTCTTTGCGTGCACGGTTGGCGGGTATTTCCCGGCTGATAAAATAGTCCCTGCGTATGTCAACATTCCGGTCCCTCGTCCGGTCCCTCCATTTAAGAAAAGTGCAAAGTTTTTCTTTTTGAGAAGAAGCTCAAGGCAAGTCAAGTGAGTAGTATCTATCAGCAAACTATCTACGTCAATGCTGGTGGAAGAAAAAAGTGAAGTGCTCGAAAGTAATCAAGAAGAGAGATAAATGAAAGGGATAGGAAGTGCTAGAGTTAAACGCTCTCAAGTGCCGGAGAAACTACTCAGTAAGCAGCAGTGGCTCAATCAGTTCTTAATGATGGAAGCAGTTTGGAGGCTTTTCTTTCTCGGCCTCAAAACATGTATAACAGTGTGCAGTAAGTAACTTTAACTCTCAAGATCTCAATGTTTAAGTGAAAGGAAGAAAAGATATGCTAGAAGGGGTTGTGATTAGCACCGACATACCAAAAAAGATGGGAGTGCTTGATTTGTACAAGGTGCCTTTAGTAAAACTTAACTAAAATCCTAAATAGTAATACAGCGTTTAGTAGTTTAAAAAGAATGTGAAGGAGATCAACGTGCCCTTCCAGCACCATAATCTCTTATATCGGCAAAACGCTCTTGCACAATTTCACATGCTCGTCCGCAACTTTTCCTCAATGGTAGGTTCAGCTATATCCACATCGAAGTTTACCACAACATAGCAATCCCGGCTCCGGCATCAATCTGCAAAACGTGAAGCGGCTTCTTCAGCACTAAATCGCCGTGAACTTCAAAGTCCGTAATTCAAGCTAGCAAGTGTGGGGCAACGAAATATAACCCGAGATTTCAAATCTTTTCCTTTCAGATAAGATACTATAGAGATGATTGTTACTTAGCTTGCGGAACTCCTGGATGAGAGGCAAGCATGAGTTTGAGTGCTTTCGAGAACCTCAGGCCTCCACTATCACCCTGCCTCCACAACACGCCATTGCCAAAGATTGGATGTTCAAATACTATAGAAATGCTGGTAATAATAATGGAGGATTCCTAATGTTCTTGATTTTTAGGCTTGAAAACTTTCCCCATAAATTGGGAACATAACAACAACCATTGAGCTAAAGTGCCTTCAGATTTCTTCAGTGCTTCTTTGCTTGGCCATTCTTTCTACACATTTCTTTTTATTTCTAATTTAAAAAAAATAAGAATAAACATTACTATTATGCTCGATGAATTACAACGTGGTCTTCAGATTTCTTTTCGCAATAAAAATCTGGTCTTTTAATCTCTTGCAAGGCTTCCCAATAATTTGTAGATGTTGTCACGCTCTCTAGACATGGATGGGCAATAAAAAACGAGCTCAAAAACTTTTGAATAGGTGCCGTTTCATGCGGATCACCTAGATCCATTCTAATACTTCTCAATTCCAAGCTCTCCTGCAGCAGCTGATAGAATACACTCAATCGTATCTCACTTTTCCCCGGGCTCTGACGAGCGTAATCTTCTGCTTATATCCAAGTGTAAAACACTCTTGCTCAAACACAAAACTTTCTTCACATTCTGGTACCCCCACCTTTCCGCAATAGTAACTTCAGGTATATTCACATCAAAATCTGCCACAACACAACAGTCCCCACTGATTTTTAACTTCTGCAGACTCGGACACTCAATCCGCAAAACGTGAGGCTCCAACAGCAGTTGATCGTGGAAATCTGGACACCTGCTATCTTTCCGAGCGTAATTCAAGCTCGTTATTGTGGGGCAACTGATCACAACCGGAGATTTCAAAGCTTCGCCTCCAGAAAGCTGGAGAGTCTGGAGCATCGGACAAGCAGATAAGATACTATAGAGGTGATTGTTGCGGAGCTTGTCGATCTCCCAGAGCTCCAGCTCCTGGATGAGAGCCAAGCATGAGTTTGAGACGCGGATGCTACTTACCCAAGTGAAGCTCAACCCCTCGAGCTTGCTGCAACCCTCCACTATCACCTTGTTCTCAGGCAATCCTCGATCACCAACTCTTCTAGCTTGGGGCAGTCGGTGATGCTCAGATCCATGGTCTCGATGTGGGATTCGCACTCCACTCGTAGTGTCTCGAGAGATGCACGACATGCCCTCACCAAAGCTTGGATGTCATTGATGTAGTAACTCTTGATTATGGAAACTGTGGTGAGCCCTGGGAGTGATATGGGAAGAGTGCTTCGAGGAGTTCTAAAGGCGTTGTTCTTGAGTTTTAGGATTGAAAGCTTCGGAAACCCGTGTATGACTCCCCACAAATCGGGGACATTAAAGCAACCATTGAGCTCTAGAGTGCGGAGCGAGCCTTGAGATTTTTTCAGCATCAACCAGTCCTTCTTTTCTACCCCTATGTTTTCCTGCTCAGACTTGATGACTAGCTTTTGCAATCCATTCATGTGCCTACTGCTTAGAGCACCAATTACCAATCTGGCCATTCTTTCTTCGTCATGGTGGGTTCTTCTCAGCACCAGTACAGGCCAGTGTAGCCTGTGAAAGAATTTGGCCACACCGGCACATCTGCAAAGGTCACTCAGATCCTCAAGCTTACTCAGAATAAGCGTCAACACATCCTCTTGGAGATTTTCCATTGCCACTCAAACCCTAAGCGTTAAACATTACCTTTTTTATTTCAGAATTAAGATATTTCTAAATAAAATTCCCGAAAACATTTCTTAAAAGCAAAAGCCGATGATAATCTTCGTTTCGGGTCCTCGAATCGCTCTTGTTGGTTCGTTTGCCTTGGCGTCATCTCACTCACTCTAAACTTCTTTCCCTCAGAGGTGATGAGCAAGGATACGATCGTTCGCCGATAAACCATCTCTCTTATCCTGTTCCGTGACAAGGTACACACGATCTTAAAGCAGACTGCGCGGAGTTTTGGTGCTGTGTAGGTGGTACCGGCGAAACAAGCTCGCATGATTTATGAAGCCCTCAAGTCCAAAGGCGGTCGCGTTGGTGGCATTCGAGGGCGAGCAGCAAAGATTTGGAGTGACGAATTCTAAAACACTTGGAATAGTTTCTAAGCCGCCTCAACATTAAACACGCGCTGGAACAGGAGATGCTCTTTTCTGCGCAGTTCCTTTCCTGGCTGATGAAATGGTTCTTGTGCATGGCGACAACATTCCGGTCCCTCCAATTAAGTGAACGCAAAGCTTCTCTTTATCAGAAAGACAGCAGCAGAAGGCAACAAAAGAGCCACCAAGTGAATAGTATCTTTCAGCAACTATCTAAATGCTGGGAGCTTTCCACGTAGTGGTGGAGAAAAAGGAAAGTTCTTTAAGGCTCAAAAGAAATTACCGTGGCCATTCATGAAGAGAGGAAAGGGGTGAAAGGAGGAGTGAAAGCTCACCATATGTAGAAACGCTCCAGTCTGGAGAAAACTACAGCAGTGTTTCGGGAATCCGGAAACTAAAGGTTTTTCGAGACAGGGGAGTAGCGTTAACTTGCAGAGGAGAAGAGAATCAAGAGCTTTCGGGGGCTTTTTGGATAGCTTTTCGTTGGGGAGTCGAGCCATAGAGGGATTTGTAGCGAGAAACTATGCTGGAAGGCAAGGCTGTGATTGGAAGCACCGATATGCCCGAGAAGATGCAAGCGCGGGCGATGGAGTGGGCGTCCGAGGCCCTTGATTTGTACGAGGTGGACGATTGCAAGGAGATTGCGCGGCACATCAAAAAGGTAGCAGCGAGTGTTTCTGATGAAATCGCTCAAAGTTTTTCTTGGCAGGGGTTTGACGGGCTCTATGGACCCGGATGGCAGTGCATCGTGGGAACGAGCTTCGGGTCTTTCATCACGCATTCGTGCGGTACCTTCATTCACTTTTACTTGGAGAGAATGGCATTCTTGCTCTTCAAAGGCTAACAAAAAGAGAAAGTCAGAAATTTGTCCGAGCCGGGTTCGAACCGGGGGCCTCTAGTGTGTGAGACTAGCGTGATGACCAACTACACCACCCAGACTTAGGCGCTAAATAGTTTTAACCTTTAAGATTGATATTATAAACCATAGAACATTCTTGAATTAAAAAAATCGTTTTTGTCTTGACCTCTGCAGGTATCGAACCTGCGACCTTGGCGTTATTAGCACCACGGTCTGACCAGCTGAGCTAATAGGCCTTAACATTATAACGTCTGGGCATAGATTCGAACCCAGAAACTCTAAACTATTACTTTCTTGAACGTTTTTGTACATGGCTTGAAACTCAGCATGTAAACCACGACGCGGATTTATACCAGATTATTATCCTTGAAAGCATACAAAAAACCAGCGTAATGCGAATAGAGGGAGTACAAAGAGAAAGCAAAAGCTCAGAGCCAAAAAAATAGAGTAGAGTAAAGAACCTCAGTAGTAGAGTAGAGAAGTAGTAATAGTCACCTTTAGACTATAGCAAAGCGATGATCTTCACTGGTTGTAACTTGCATTGTCTCGCTGGGATCACGCCTGGAGTTCCTCGACCTCGTCCTCGTACTCCCCTTCCTCCTCGGCGCTCGCGTCCTGGTACTGCTGGTACTCGGACACCAGATCGTTCATGTTGCTCTCCGCCTCGGTGAACTCCATCTCGTCCATTCCCTCGCCGGTATACCAGTGGAGGAAGGCCTTGCGCCGGAACATGGCCGTGAACTGCTCGCTCACTCGCCGGAACATCTCCTGGATCGAGGTCGAGTTCCCGATGAACGTCGACGCCATCTTCAGTCCCTTGGGCGGGATGTCGCACACGCTCGACTTGACGTTGTTGGGGATCCACTCCACGAAGTAGGACGAGTTCTTGTTCTGGACGTTGATCATCTGCTCGTCCACCTCCTTGGTGCTCATCTTGCCGCGGAACATCGCCGAGGCGGTGAGGTAGCGGCCGTGGCGAGGGTCGGCAGCGCACATCATGTTCTTGGCGTCCCACATCTGCTGGGTCAGCTCCGGGACCGTCAGCGCGCGGTACTGCTGCGAGCCGCGCGACGTGAGCGGCGCGAAGCCAACCATGAAGAAGTGGAGCCTCGGGAATGGGATGAGGTTGACGGCCAGCTTCCGGAGGTCGGAGTTGAGCTGCCCGGGGAAGCGGAGGCAGCAAGTGACACCGCTCATCGTTGCCGAGATGAGATGGTTCAAGTCACCGACTGGAAAGAGACAACAGAAAAGAAAAAGAGTTTTAGTACATTGGAATCAGGGACTTGGTCTTTTCTTTCTGACTTACAGGTTGGAGTGGTGAGCTTGAGCGTCCGGAAGCATATGTCGTACAGGGCCTCGTTGTCCAGGACCATACATTCGTCGGCATTCTCCACGAGCTGGTGTACTGAGAGCGTCGCGTTGTAAGGCTCCACGACCGTGTCGGACACCTTTGGGGACGGGAACACGGAGAATGTGAGCATCATCCGGTCTGGGTACTCTTCCCTGATCTTAGAGATGAGCAGTGTACCCATCCCCGACCCAGTACCTCCTCCAAGGGAGTGGCAAACTTGGAAACCTGCCAAGAACACATCCTCCAGTTAGCCACAAACAATGCTAAAGAAGACCCAAGAATCGATCGACCACATACCTTGGAGGCAGTCGCAGCTCTCGGCTTCCTTTCTCACCACATCGAGCACGGAGTCTATGAGCTCGGCGCCCTCTGTGTAGTGACCCTTGGCCCAGTTGTTTCCAGCGCCGGTTTGCCCAAACACGAAGTTGTCCGGCCGGAAGATCTGCCCAAATACGCCGGATCTCACGCTGTCCATGGTACCGGGCTCTAGATCCATGAGCACCGCACGGGGGACGAAGCGGCCGCCGGTGGCCTCATTGTAGTAGACATTGATCCTCTCGAGCTGGAGATCCGAGTCGCCATGATAGTTCCCGGTGGGATCGATCCCGTGCTCGTCACAGATCACCTCCCAGAACTTGGCGCCGATCTGGTTCCCGCATTGCCCGCCCTGGATGTGGAGGATCTCACGCATCTTCGCTTGCCTGCATTGGTAGCCAACACACAGGGATCGATGAATATCGTCAAGATCACGATATTTCGAGCAAAATATGACCGACAAGCATCGATCGACCGCGACTTACATAGAACACACCGATTCCTACCGATAACACCAGAATGCAAGCACGGCAAGAGATAGAATCGATCGAAAACGCGAAGAACACAGGGCGGCAGCCAAACTAGCGATCTAAAAGGGGGCAAAATCACAAAAGAGAGAGATCTGGCAGCGGCGCAGCGCCAGGCAAGGGAAAAAGACGATCCAGGCAAAGAAATCGTGAGAGAATCGCTACTGACCTTGGAGAAGAAGAGGCAGCGCCTTCACAGCCGGGAAGAAGCTCCTCAAACGCGCAGCGCCTTTAGCTCCGCCCCAGGAGCCGATACAAAGGAAGGGAAAATAACTAGCGAAAAGAGTTTATTACTAAACAGGGGGAAGATTCTTTATACATGGGAACCTGTGATTAGCCGCATTGGAACAAAACTTGGCGTCCGGGCTACCTTGCATTTAATTTCCCATCTGGCGTCCTTGTTTTAACTTTTCGACGAGTGCCCGCGAAAATTTTCGAATCAGAGGCGGTGGCGGTAGCGGTGAAAAGAATTTCACCCGCTAGGTAACTTAACCACGGAAAAATATCTTGTGCTTGCCTGTAAATCACATGCGACCATTATCAAAGTGGGCCAGGGGCCCATTCGCGGAGTACGAATGGGCCGTACGGCGGACAAATCAAGTATGTGGTTGAAAATGACGTTGTTTTTAGACGTTGATGTTTGGCTGGCTTAGACGAACATGCACGAACGTGTGATTACAAAGAGAGAGAGAAGGCAAAAAAAAGGATAGAAAGAAAGAGATAACCTGTTGGAGCCGGCTATGGTGCCTCTGGCACTGCCAAAAGGATAAGCTTCCTTTCCTACCAGCAACGAACGACTGTGTTAAAGGGATAGACAACAAAAAAGAAATTCATGATCTATGTCGTGCATCGATGCTCACCTGGAATTCCTTGCAGGGTCTCATAAATTTCTTTCACTTCGTGAAAGCTTCCAAACATTCCGGAGCAATCTGCTAGAGCTCTAGATTTTAAAGTCGTAGATTGTTCGCTTTGCTGCCTGGAACACGAACCACGTTAAACTAAATAGTTTTCATCTACAATCAATCCTGCTAAACTTTTTTCCTCGGTGAGTGAAACTAAGAAACCATATCTATCTATCGATCTTGGATGAAGGAAACTAAGAAGATTTTCTAGCTTAAAACTTTACCTCCGCGACATCACTGTGGCGGCACTGGTGAAGTGTCTGCTAGCTTAACACGCAAGCGCCTTCCATCGCAGTCCTGCAAAAAGAGCAAAGAGAGAAAGACTTTACCAAAAACCTTAAGAAAAGAATGAAAACCAACGTACCGCTCCGTCCAAAGATTTAACAGCTTCGTCGGCTTCCTTTGGCGAGGACAAGGTTACAAACCCAAAGCCGCGAGATCTGCCAGTGTCTCGGTCATACACTATCTTCACCTCCACCACTTTCCCGTGAGCTCGAAAAAACTCTTCAAGGCTTCCATCGTCGACTCCCCAAGGCAAATTCCCAATGAAAACTTTCGTGTGGCTTGCTGCTACCTCCACGGGTCCCTCTTTTCCAGCCTTTTTGTAAGGCTGAGAATAACTAGCTTTAAGTGCTCTACCTTGAACAATCTGTGCAAAAACAGAAGAGAAGAGTGTTTTCAAGCCTCGAGAAAAAAAATAAAATAAGTGACTTACGTGACCATCGAGCTTTTGGACCGCAACTTGAGCAAAATCGATGGACGTCAATGTCACGTATCCAAATCCACGACTTCTTCCAGTTTCCCGATCGCACACTACCTACAAAATCTAAGTTAGTCTCTATTTCATGCTGCATTGGTTCTGGAAAAATCAAAGAGACATACCTCCACTTCCTCGACGTGTGCTAGAATCCCAGCTTGTTGCAGCACCTTGGCAAGCTCCTCGCTATCGCAGTTCCACGAGAGATTTCCCACATAGATCCGGCTCGGCCGCGCGACGCTGGAATCAATTTCACTCTTCACGCAAAGCCCTCGCATTTTCCTCCTACGAATGCCGACGAATCGAAATCTTGCAGACGAGCGCGCGCAGTAAAACGAGGAAGAAATCCCGAGCCAAGCGCCGCCTCCGCCATCGCTACACAAGCTCATCGCCATGCCCTAAGCTTTCATAGTGAATGATTAAACCCTACGTAGTATATACTGCGAAGATTCTTCTCTATATTTTGAACAGCCCGCCATTGCGTTTTACCCTTAACACTTTGTGGGAACGAATAGCGCAGCGATGGCGCTCTTCTCCAAGCTCGGCGCGTTGGCGGCATTAGGGATCGCGCTCTTCAGCATCAGCTCTACGATCGTGGCGCTCTTCCAGGTCGGCGACTTGGCGGCGATGGCGTGTGGCCTGCCCGTACTCGGCGTTCTCTGTCCCGTGGCGATCTCCCTCTACACGAAGATTTCCAAGGTTTCCTTCCGGGAATTCTTGATCTGGAGGATTGTATATTTCATCTCCGCCGTGCTCTTGATTCTCATGGAGAGGGTTTCTACGGCAGTTCTTGGTACGTATTCTCGAATTCTTCCTTGATGCCGAAATATTTCGTCCTTTGATCGATCGTGCACATTCTTTCCAGCGGCTTTCTCCAGCCCATCCATGGTCTTCCTCCTCCATGCCGGTAATACCAGCTTTCTTTCTTGCCAGAATGATCAGGCTCTTTCTTTTTTGTGTTTAGTTCCTGGCGTGAATTGGATGATCGACCCGCTCTTTAGGATAATCCAGCATGTCTCGATCAAGACAGGTAAATCTAAGCTTTCTTTCCAATTCGACGTTCCATGTTCTCTTCAACCTTAGGACTTCCTTGTCCGTTTATCATCACTGGGAAGACCATCCTGGTGTACATGGCCGAAGGAGCTCAACGCGATCTCATTTACATTCTCAACGAGCAGCTGCCAGCGATGATTATCAAACTGGATGGTCGATATCATCTCAGGCCCATTCCGAGAGACTCGACCCCCTCCCACATCGATCTCTTCCTCTACGTTGCCTCCGATGTGGTGCTGCACGACCACGACACACTTACGCAACAGACTCGGGCGGCCTACTTAGCTGCAAAGGATTTCAAGCCTGTGGACGCGTTTGTTGTCGTCGGGAAGGAAAAAGAGGTCAGTCATATAGATTTGTTACTTGAACTCATCGCCTTCCATGCGGTTTTCCAGATGAGGCGCTATGTTGGTCTTGGTCTTGGTCCTGCTTGCCTTCTCTTACCTCGCAGACTCAAGAGGCAGCTCGATAATCTCGGGTACCGACTATATTGCTTCAAAGACCGCTCTCCACCGGGCTTCATCAATGGTACGTGCGTCGAGAGTGGCTACTTTAGCTTACATTTGTTATTTGTCATCTTAAGCAGCTCTAGCTCCAGACGCTCCAGCTCCAGACGCTCCAGCAGCACAAGCTCCAGTTCCAGAGGCTCCGGACGCTCCAGCTCCACATGCTCCAGCTCCAGAAGTTCCAGCAGCACAAGCTCCAGCTCCAGAAGCTCCAGATGCTCAAGCTCTTCCAGCTCCAGCTCCAGCAGGTCCAGCTCCAGATGCTCAAGCTCCTCCAGCTCCAGCTCCAGCAGGTCCAGCTCCAGGGGTCTACATTCCGCCTCACCGTGCGAATCGCTGGTAAAATAGACTAAAGCTCCGGTTAGAGAACAATCGAACAGCGTAAGTTTTGCGTACTTCGCTTATGTGAATTCCGTGCCACTGAATTTTTTTTCGCGATTTGTCATTCCCTCGTGCGAGCTGCAAAAGATCGATTTCTTACAATGGTTCCTCTCGAGGTAAAGAACATGGTCAAGATTTACCGGTGTTAATTTGCCAATACACAAGAGCATTTTAAATAGCCCGCCATTTTTTGCCCTTACCTTGGTGTCGCGATCGCCTTCCTCCTCAGGCACGGCGCTCATCTGGCGATGGCGATCTTCTTCGAGCTCTGCAAAATGGCTATGGCGGCAGTGAAGGTCTGCTACAATCTCGTCCCCTTGCTATTCGCCGCATTGGCGCCGTCGACGAGGGCGTCGATCCAGGCGTTGGCGATGGCGTTCGTCTCCAAGATCGTCTCCCTCGGGGCCATGGCGGCGACGGCGTGCCACAATCTCGTGCCCTTTCTCTGTGGTTTGGCGGCGTCCTTCACCAATATTTCGGCATTGGCGCCGTCGACGAGCATCGCGATGGCGTCGATCCAGGCGGTGGCGATGGCGTGCGTCTCCAAGATCCTCTCCCTCGCGGCCATAGCGGCGACGGCGTGCCACAATCTCGTGCCCTTTCTCTACGATTCGGCGGCGTCTTCCACCAAGATTTCCGCATGGGCGCCGACCATCGCGATGGCGGCAACCTCGATCCAGGCGCTGGCGATGGCGTGCTTCTCCCCGATCGCATGTTACGCGAGGACGACCTCAGGAAGTGAGTTGAATCTCAGGGTTCTATGGCGATGGGCAATCGGTCTTGGTATGTATCCTCAGATTCCTCGCTCTCTCATCGATCGTGAATTTTTCTAGTCTTTGCCTTCACCCGGAGCGTTTCGGTGTGGCCTTTGATCCTCATCATCGTTTTCTATGTAGCCTTTGAAATCGGTAAGCTAGTGCTTCTCTTTATCGGATCATGCTCGACTTTCTTTGCTTTTCTGCTCTAGTGTCTGCTGTGGAGTGGATTTTCGGCCCGGTTTTCCAGTTGATCCAGTATGTTTTGATCAAGATAGGTAACGCATATTTCCGCTCACGATTTTTTCTCGAAACTTCTTGTACGACACCAGGACTTCCTTGCCCGCTGATCATCACTGGTAAAAGAATCCTGGTATTTCCTTGCGACGATCACCCACATTCACTCGTTGGCATCATGGGAGAACAGCGCCCAGCGATTATCCTGCAGATGGCTGCTAACTATGTACTCACGAACTATAGTTGGCCATGGAAGATTTGGCGCGTGGATCTCTTCGTCTATGTCTCTTCAGATGAGTTGCTGCGCGACCACGACAAACTAATGCAAGAGGCTCGCCACGCCTATCGAGAAGCCGTTCGGCAAATCGGGCCAGTGGAAGCGTTCGTTATTGCTGGCAAGAAATCCCAGGTTGGTGATGAGTATCTCTGGTGCTCGGGCTAATTTGCTTGTGTGTGTGTGTGTGTGTGTGTTTAGGTGACGCGCTCTCGTGGCATTGGTCCTGCTTTTTTCCTCTTGACCAGAAGGCTCAAGAACGAGCTGGCTGCTCTTGGGTACGAGTACCGCTTGTATTGCTTTAAGACCCTTGCTCCAGCTGGTTTCCTCGATGGTAAGTTTATCTGTTTTGGCTGTGTACTTAAAAATGGCATCTCCTGCTGCAGCTCCACCTCCAGCTCCAATCGCTCCCTCCCAGGCTCTGCGCCCGCGTCGCCCTGACCCGTACGCAGGGGCGTCAGACGCTTATAACCTAAGGAATGCGGTCTGATGGAACACTCAGCGTAAGTTTTGCCTAGTTGAAGTCCGTCGTCACTGAAAAACAATTCCTCATTGTTGCTGGAGCGAGTTTTGAAAGATCTGATTCTTTTACATACACGAACACTCTAGAGGTATTTCATTAACTTTCAAAGTAAAATTTCACAAAGTACTTACAGGATGGGAAAGTTAACGAGCGTTTCGAACCTGGCCATGTGTTGCGGATTGATGGTGAGCAGCACGTCAACCCCGCCTTCGGGCCTGGACGGTGACACGGGTAGAATGAGCACAAACTCAACTCGCTGTGTGAGCACGGGGCCCATGTAGATCGGCTTCCCCCATCCAAAGTCCATCTCATAAAACGGGAACTTCCACCACGACGAGATGTAGAAGCCACCGTTGAACCTGGGAATGCCTCGGTGGATCTCGCTCCAGTCGATCCACGAGCGTACGAATTCATCGTCTGCTCGAAGTAAGGCCTCACGGACGACTGTCAGGCAGTGGGACAGTGGTTTTTTGAGCAGCTCCTCGGTTTTCATCCTCACGGCGACTGGAAAGGCCCGGTTGCCGACGAAGCCTCGGGGGATTGGCGGTGTTACTTTCTTGCTCACGTCGACAGCCATGAACATGGTGGCCTGGTGCTCCAGCGGCATCCCCATCGCAGCAGTTCGCAGCTTCCAGACGTAGGTGGCGACGACGTCGAAAGTCGAGCACCGGGTGATGGTTCCGTCGGACATGGCCAACTTCTTCAGATACTCGACCTTGCTCGCCGGGATGTTGATGGCTCTCGAAACCAAGTCCGTAACCACGTAGTTACCGGAGGCCAGATTGGTGCTGACGACCATGTCTTCCATCGTGGAGAAGGAGTTCGTGCTGGGGATCTCACTCGCCTTGTAGTAGACGTCGCCGAAGTCGATCTTGGGGGTTGGCTGCGGGCGAGCTGCGAGCATAGTCCGATCGAACTGAAGCTCTGGAAGCTGGAAGTTTTCAACGCCGCGAGCTTTGGAAGTGAGGTGCTGCATGAAGTCGATGATGCTGATGCCGTCCGCGAGCGCGTGGTTCACCGACAGGCCGAACGAGAATCCACCGCAGAGAAACTTCGTCACCTACAAAACAGGTTCTTACTGGTTTCTATTTACTTTTCTCGCTCTGGTGCTTATGTAAACGCTTCAGGAAAGCTTCAACACGAACCTGGACAGTGGCGAGAGGCCAATCCGAGAGAACCTTCACGTTCGTCGCAGTGAACACCAGGTTGCGATACAACGCATTTGGAAGCGTGAGATCGCCCAGGTCGGCGATGTTGAGATCGGAGACAGCTTCGACAAACGGCACGCCAGCTGAATTGGCGTCGATCTCCAGGCGCTGAGTTTCCTCGCTGACGGCCAGCCTTCCAGCAAACGGATAGAACTCCACCATGGCCTCCTGGAGGGCCCGGAAGAGGACCTTGGGAGCGTCGGCAGCACCGGACGAGTAGAAGTAGATGGAGTCGACCATGAAAACAACAGTGAGATCGATGTTTGGGAGGAAGATCTTGGCCCGCGGAGTTGGCCCGGCGGGGAGTGCCGAGCTGCAGCTCTGGAGGGTCACTGGGAGGAGCTGGGATTCCATGGCGAAAGGCGGAAAAGAAAGATATCCGGGGATGGGAATTTAGCAGCCAACTGGAAGGGGAAAGGGATCAACACAGGGAAAACGGTGGATGGCTCTCGGCTGAAAGGTGGTGAAGATATTAAATTTTCGCGATGGAACAGCGTCTTGGCGTGATGGGGAGGCATGCAGCTGACGTTGTCCTTGGAGGAATGGGTTTCTTAGAACCATGCGAAATGCTCCTTTTCAAACGAAATAAGGAAGTCAACAAACTAGAAGAAGACCACAGTGAAGTGAAGTTGGATAAGGTATGTGGAGGTACCAAAGGTCGCTTTAAAAAATAGAATGCGACAAGGAGCTTACTTCACATTGTTAAACTGTTGGTAAGACTTCATCTTTAACTCCAAGCTAGATTTTCTGCTAACATCTGCACTTTTTTTTGTATACGTGTCTATTTTCTTCATCGCAAGGCTATGGAGTTAGCCTCGACATTGCCGACACCAGCAAAGATTGGCAGCACCTTTTGCAATTGTTCTACACCCAGGTACTTAAAATCCTTGCACTTCAATCCAATTTATCGATTTTTTCTTTCAGAGCAAGAAATCGAGTCCACTGCACGAGCACGGCACAAGCAACTAGAACCTTGGAGCTGGAATTAACTTATCTGGAGGTATTTCTTTTGAATGCTCAGAACTTTGGATTGAAAGCAAGTGTTTTTTTCCATGATTTTAGGGAAATAGCTGGCTGTGGAGAGTGTCGGGGGTCTCTATTTTGGTTGATCCAGTCCTTGTTGGAAATCTAGACTTTGGAGTTCCTTTTCTATATGATGGTGCAAAGAAAAACCTCCACAAACTCAAGGTATCTGAGCTCAACTTCTTAAAAACCGTGTAATGTATTCAAGATCTGTAGCTTGACGAACTTGGAGATGTGGATTGTCTACTTATCACCCAAAGTTTGGATGATCATTGCCACAAAAGAACTCTAGAGCCTCTCTCAAAGATTTATCCACAACTTCAAGTCATTGCAACTCCAAATGCTGAGCCAATTCTTAGCAAGATCTTCAAACAAGTAACTCATCTTTCTTTTCTTAGTTTTTCTACGATTTGTTTTTCAAGGTCACTTACATAGAACCAGGCCAAGAGACAAGTTTCAGGGCCTCAAGCAAGTCAAGTTTAAAAGTAACAGCTTCCGCAGGACCTGTTCTTGGACCTCCATGGCAACGACCAGAAAACGGGTTAAAACATTTTTTCTATACTTCTTTCATTTCTCATTTTATTTTTACAGCTACTTTGTTGAGACGTCTGATCCAAATGCCCGAATTTACATTGAGCCTCACTGTGTTTTTGATCGGAAATTGCTCCAAGGCAAAACAGCTGATGTGGTGATTACGCCTGTGATCCAACAAAAGCTTCCATTGTTTACACTTGTGTCAGGCCAAGAGGACGCAGTGGAGCTTGCTAAGACTTTACAGCCAAGGTAACTGATATTTTTTATTCTGGTTCTCATCTGTCTCTGGATTTTGGATATCCTCCAGATATGTTGTACCTATGAACAATGGCGATTTAGATGCCAAAGGAATCCTTGCAAAGCTGCTGGTTGAAGTGGGGACTGTAGAGAGCTTCAAGGTAACAGCATACTTTTAAAACAGAGAAATGAATTTCATTTGTTTCAGACATCTTTAAAAGAAGTTGCACCAAGAACACAAGTCGTGGAGCCAACACCTGGGATTCCACTCCACTTGACATTGTGAGAGGTAATGCTACACAGATGGCTTAAAATATCCGAAAATAACTTTAAATGGATAGTTTTTCTTTATATGCAAACTCGCGGCAAAGCAGTGGACCTCATTGGGTATGGCTTCTGGACTTCGTGTAATATAAATATAAAAGACAGTTTTGTTCCTCCCAGCCAACCAAGAGAGACGAGACACTTTCCTCCTAGAGCTTATGGTGGCATTCACAGACTCAAGCATCTGGATCAAGGGAGCCGAGCTATTCCATTGGCATATCAAGAGGAAATGATTAAGTCTCGACCTCCACCCCACTTGCTTTAGTGAAGTTGCTATTGTCTCTGGCTTAATCACAAGATTGTCAAAGTTAATTAGTTCCAGTCAAAAAAAGACTTTTCCAACAAGGACTTTTGAACGACTATTGCTACAACCTCGTCAGGAATCCGATAAGTATTTGTTTCTAGGAATAAAGTCACACAAGAGCTTGAGGTAGCTTGATACTCGATTTGACTTCTTGAAACGATAAATAATACATGTTTTGGAATTTGAAAGAGAATATTTTCTTCTATCACATTTAGGGTTCTTGCGTTGTCTCGGCGTAGGGATCCGGGCTCTTGTACGAGTACCATCGCGCCAGCGGCACATAGATCGCCAGGTTCGCGACACTCAGCCCCGCCATCAGCCAGTAGTAGCGATCCAGATGCCCGGCATTCACATCGTTCTGGAGCCACGACGGCGCCGCGCGGCCGACGCAGGTAATGAGCACGCTGCTCATGAAGCTCCCCACGCCCAGGTTCGCGAGCCCCAGGCTGATCCCCAGGCTGTGGAAGGTATCGGGCGATTGCTCGTGGAAGAACTCCAGCATGCTCGTGTTGGCCAGGCCCTCCGCCATGCCCAGCAGCGCGTACTGTGGCAGCAGCCAGAAGATTCCTAGCTTCCTGGAGCTGGAGTTCTCGTCCTTCCTCTTGATCTCCACCAGTGCCGCGGTGACGAGCGCGATCACGGTGACGAAGATCCCCAGCCCGGTTCGCTGGAGCAAGGTGATGCCGCGCTCGTTCTTGGAGATCTTTCTCATGGCCGGGACGAGGATCCGGTCGTAGAACGGGAGGAAGAGCACGACGGTGATGTTGCTGAAGAGAAGCATGGACGCTGGCGGGATCTTGAAGGAGGTGCTTCCAAGCCGGTTGTCCATAGCCATTCCTTGGCGGAGGAAGAAGGTGGCGGACTGGGTTGGAGCAGTGGTAAACCATAGCGTTGCGAACCAGACTGGGAGCATTCGTATGACGAGCTTTACCTCCTCGACTCGCGTCACGGTGGAAAGCTTCCAGGGGCTGGTTTTCGTCGTGGATTCCACTTCCATATCCATGTCACCATCGAGTTTGAGTGCTGCCTTGTCAAGGAACCTGGACGACGAACACCGCGGCTTTTAGAACAGGAGCAAAGGGACGGAAGAAGATGACAGGCACTACTCACAGGAACTCGTCGGTGTGGGGGATGTGTCTTTTGCCTTTGGCGATGGACTTTTCCTCGTAGAGCTCAAGAGCTCCGAATCTGTTGCGACGCTTTCGGAAAGCGGAGACCAGGACTTGTGCGATCTTTGTGAGGGGGCTTCCGTCGGGACGACGGTAGCGGTATCTCGGCATCTGGATGAGAAAGACGACCAAGGCGATGGAGAGAACGATGACGAGAATGCCGAAGCCCCAGGAGAAGCCTACGTTGTCCTCGATGTAGACGAGGACGGTGACTGATATCAGGCCTCCGACGTGAATGGCACAGAGCAGGAAGTTGAAGAAGGAGTACTTTTGCGGCCTCTCGACGTCGTCGGACTCATCGAACTGGTCGGCTCCAAAGGACATGAACGAGGCGGTGGAGCTTCCGCCCGCAAACGCTATGGCGTAGAGGGAGAAGAAGAACAAGGCATTCTGAGCAGTGGACGCTGGCTGGCAAGTGTAGTTTCGAGCGGGACAACTTGGAGGCCTCAAGCTTCTGACGGATGCGGAGATGGTAAGGCAGCTCAGTCCCTGTCAGGAAGTTTAGTTTTTTTTCTTTCGAAGTGTGTGAAGTGATGATGGTGATGATGGTTTTTGTTTTGCAGAGAGAAGAAAGTTTGCGGCAAGCTCACTACTTAGTCTACTACTCACCACGCAGTAGAGAAGAAACGAGTACAACAGCGTCTTGTAGCGCCCCCAATATGTGTCGGAGAGAAAAGCTCCGAGAACTGACGAGACGAAGAGCGTTCCTTGCCAATTAGTGAGATCTCTGGCGGATCTGGCAACACCTTGATGCATAACGGTCGTCAAGTAAGTCACCAGGTTGGAAACTATGCCGAAGAAGATGACAGTGGCAGACATTTGGATCACTGCGGCACAGGAAAGAAAAGCTTTTAGAACTGGCAGAGAACGAGACAGTGCACCCTCACCGAGCATTGGGATGGCTCCCGGCCATCGTCCGGTCTTCTTCTTGAGAGCAGGCCGGCCTTTGAAATCCAGAGTTCCATTCTGCGCATACAAGTAAGCCTGTGCTTTGCTCTCCAATTCCTGCGGTTGTTTTGCTTAGATCTTGTGCCGGACAGTCTAGATGAACTTACCATTTCTTTCTTCCCGTGCAGAGTTACAAGACTTTGGCCACTCCCGGGAGCTTTGGAGCCTGGAAAGCTACAAAGGTCATTCTTCCTGTTCAGAGAAAGAATGAGTGAGATTTGAGCAACCAAACCATTTTCGTGCGTACTTAAGGAGCTCGGTGTGAGTGAGTATGTGAGAGTGTGTAGGGGGCCACAGTTGAAATTTTTATCCGCGTGGTCACCTCTGTGACGCACTTTAGTCCAGAGTTTCTTGAAGAATTAATGACATCCAACCTCCTTTCTGGCCTACTCTTTGACTTCGATTTACTGGAAAAGTCCTCTCGAGAAACCGGTAACTTATCTATTTGGCTATTTCTTTGAGTGTGAGAACGTGAATAAAAATAATTGTCAGTTCAATAATGTGGTTTTATAGTTTCAAAATTAAATGCACAAAGTAATTACCTGCTAATGGGACTTCTTAAAGACCTTTCTCTCCCAGCATGCAAAACAAGCTTCTCTTTGAGCAATGGGCTTGGTGGATCTGATACAGGCCTGCTCTCGTACCATGAATCAGGAGATTTAGAGTTGGAGGGAGGGGCCAACAATTCTAACTGTGGCTTCGATAGAGCCAATAGGACAGGCAACATGAAGCATAGACTCCAACGCCTGTTTTTGCAAAATGGAAGAAGAAGCTGGATTCTGTCTGCCACTCCAAGCTGTTTTTGGCTGCTCAAGTGCATACAAAATCTAATCATGTTAGATTGGCAAAGATGCTGTTGTTTCTTTGAGCGTGACCAAGAAACTGACCAAGCCTTTGACTATTATGTTCTTACTAAGCTATAAGTTTTTCAATGGGGTTAAATTAATTTAATTTAAAATCCTAAGATCTTTTCTTAACACTCCAACCAAATATTTTTATCCTTAGCAGTTCGTTTGCTCCACTGGTATTTTCTTAAAATGTTAAACAAGAAAAGATAATTGATAATTTAGAGCTACGATGGAAATCCTCCACTACCATGAAGTAAATCAAGAATATTGGGAGGACAAAACCTCGCAGTAAGATTATTAAAACAGTTTATTATAATCCGTCGGTCTCGTCGGCGCCACAAGACCCTGTAAACAATTACTAAATGAATGAATGGAATTTCCAATTGTTAAACTAGTGAGTAAGCGAGAGATGGCTAACTAGTTATTTTTTTACTTGAGTTATCACTTAGGTGGTCACCTAAAGCTGCTATTCTTTTTACAGCCTTGTTCTATCTCTTGAAGCTAGCGGCCCTGGGGAGCTCGTCCGGCTTCACGGGCAGCCGGATCATGTTGTAAGAACACGCACCCGCCAGCGCGCCGACTGTCGGGCCGACAATGTAAACCCACAATCCACTGTAGTTGTTCGCGGCGATCGCGGGGCCCAAGCTTCGTGCTGGATTCATTGACGCGCCCGATATTGGCCTGAGCGAACGAGGGAGAAAAATGTCGTAAAGCTCGAGAAGGATTTTGTCCAGTTTGATCGATCCAAAAGGGGGAATGAGTGGCTTACCCGGCGAAGATGGCATTCAAGCCCACTGTAGCACCGATTGCGAGGCCTGCCAATTCTCCAATCTACACGATCGTCGCGGACATTAGAGCGGCATCTACAGAGAGGATGTGTCGGCGCTTACCGCTCGAGCGTCGGTGGCGACGGCGGAGACGACGAACATGAGAATGTAGGTGATGATCGCTTCCAGATAGAACGACTGGAGATCGCTTCCAGCGGGAATTGTGGCACCGATGTTAGCCACGGGGCTGATGATCAGCCGCAGCGCAAACGCGGCAGTGATCGCGGCAGTGATCTGTGCGCCGATGTAGGCAGGAACCTGGGAGAGAGGAGAGATTTCAATCAAACACTTCCAAAGTTAGCGACGAAGATCGCGGGAAAGAACACAAAGAAGAACCATCGACTAATTCACGATCAATCCAAATCTAACTCAATCGACCACTCAAACACGAGAATCTAGGCGAGAGATCTAGCTTACTTGCTGCCAGGGGAAATGGCGCACGGTCGCAAACGCCAGAGTCACGGCCGGATTCATGTGAGCTCCAGAGATGTGGCCGACGGCGTAGACCATGATCATCACCACAAGCCCAAACGCCGCCGAGACGCCCAAGTGGGTGATCGAATCCTTGTACTTGGCGTCCACCATCGCGGCGCCACATCCCGCGAAGACGAGGATGAATGTGCTGATCACTTCCGCGCCAATCTACACATCCCAAGAACCCTATAAACAGGGGACAGAGAGAGGAAGAAGAGGGGGGAAATCGATCCATTACCTTCTGGAAGAGCGTGGATTTGGGCACGATGGCGACTGGAAAGCATCCCCTAGAGGCCGCGGGAGGCGAGGCCTGGTGATGAATCTGGTGGCCATTCCCGGGGAGAGCGATGGAGGGCGCTGGCGTGACCCGGATCTCGCTGAGCTGGAAATCGTTCATCCCTGCCGCCGCTGCTGCCATGGATCGGGTCAGGAAGGTCGTCGCAGCACAGCCCAAGAAGCGATCACATTCGACCAGGCGAGGAATTGGGGAGAGGAGAGATGGTTGTGCGCGAGGAGGCAGAGAAGTCGTGCAAGCTTTTATAAGCGACCATAAATTGTGGAGACTTTGGGAGAGTATAGAGGCGCGCGGCGCAGGGGTCCATATGTGAAAGAGATCAGACTGACTGTCTCGTAATAAACACCACACACACCCACCCGTTTTGGAAGAAAAAAAACAAGCACGCAAACAGGGAAGAAAACCGGGAGGAAATCAAAGCGAAGGAAATCAACAAGCCAAAGAAAGCGATAAGAAAAGCGTACGGGGACCTTTATGTGTTGACTCGTGTGCGTGTAAGCAAGTGTCAAACAAGGACGGCGGCGGGGTCGTTTTTTGCGATCAACCCGGCATGGAGATTAAACAAACCTGAGAGAGTGAATCGACAGCCACGCAGCGACTTTGCATTGAAAATCGAAATGATATGTCGGCATGAGAAAGGAATGGGAATGAGATGGGAATGGGGATTTTTCTTTGCTTTGATCGCGTTACCTGGAGGGAGCCCACTCTTGTCGACTTTCCACGATTACCGCGAGGGCGGGGATATTTGTAGAGGAAAGGGGTTGCTAAAATTACACTTCCGGATTGATCTCATCCAGATTGATAGTTCGTCAACTTCTAAGGGCAGTTTTGGATTTGCTGGTTACATCCTCTCTTGGATCTCTTGGATGTAGCGCACCTCTGCTTTTACAAGTACTCTGATCTCCATGTCACCAGCTGGTGACAAAGGCTTTCAATCACAAAAACAAAAGCATCTCCAATGAATTTTCATAGTATATTGGGAGTAGTAGATATATTTAGAATATACTTAAATATTCTAGGACATTTTACCATCTAACAGTTGTTGTTCATTTAGATTACTCTTGTATTTATATTTTATAAACCTATTTATAATTTAGAAAATTTCCTTAACACTTTTTAGTATATTCTCTAATGGTTGATATTCAATAAAATTAATCTTGTGTTTATAAATTATAAATATTATATAATTATAAACTTCTATTTTATCAATTGGATTAGTAAAAATTATTATTAAGCAAACCAAGTGCTGTTGCTATTGTATTCATCATGGTCTTTGGTATTTGTGATACTTGGTACATAGATCTTCACAACCTTATGTTGCTGCAAGCCACTTGATGTGACCTGGACTTTTTCTAGAATAATATTCTTTTGAAAATAATATTTAAAAATACAGTAATTTGGAAGAAATAAAAAATATTGAAATTTTAGAAAATGATTATGTAGTTTATAAAAATTTATTATTTGTAAAATAATTATTTGTAATCAATATTATTGTATATTTTATTGAACATGCAGTATCAATAGAAGTAACTTAGACATAACTCTTTAGCTGATAGATCTTGATAATTTTAATTTTCTTACATCACAAATTAAAACTGGAGTAGTCCCATATATCCAATAAATTATATGAAAACTACAACTTAGAAGATTATATTTGACTACTCCTGATCGTATCATATATCCTCTAAGTACAATCACTGAAAATAGATTAAGAACAGGTATTAAAGAGTTATTTAAACTATGTCTAGATTATATATCTAGGAAGTGTTTATAATTATTGATACACATTTCTTGGATACATTTATACCTTCATATAAAAGTTGTAATAACTTGAAATCTTTAAATGCTTCTTTACAAAATAATCTTATCAGACCAATCCAAATGGAAAGAATGGTTTAATTTTACAATCAAATTGTTAAGTTTCTCTTTATTCTGAGAAAAATTTCTTTAAAACATCACCTAATACTATTGAGCATTATGGTTTCTACTTTCTTATAGCTCAAAAAGATGGTAATATTTTATAATATAATGAAAATAAAATAGTAGTATTACATTGTTTACAGAAACCTAACTGCTTTTTATTTACTTATCTTCAATTACAAGAGATTATTTTCTTATAACACAAATTGAACATTTGGTAGGAAACTAAATTTAATACTCATATTGGATGTGTAAATGTAAAAACATTATTAAATAAGAATATTAGGCAAAACCATGGATTCTATTGCCACTTAGAAGGAGAAAAATGTTTACTCATTCCTAAAGCATAGCTTATATATGAATTGTTATTGTTATTAATGTGGCTTAAGTAAATTGCAGCCTCTGGTGATACTTAATGTGATTTTTCTGTTGATCTCATCATTTCTTCTAACTTCCCTGAGTTATTTATAAATTAGTTTTAGCCATGGTAACATAGCACACCTGTCAATATGGTTTTTGTGTATAACCAGTTGTCTAAGAAAAATCTATATGCCACTTTTCTAGTTTTGGAAATGGTTTTTTAATTGCTCTGGTTTGGGACCACGACATAAATGATTTCACACATGGTTCTTTTGTTAGTTTTTAGTATAATTCATGTCCTATTTAACAATCACTCTAGGAGTGATTACTAGTGTAGTTTTTAATATGGTTAAGGAGCAACTTGGGAGTAAAAGTAAGTATATATGATTCACTGATATAGATATAGTTTTGAAACTATTTATGTGACTATTGAAGACAGTAATTTTTAGAATAATGTTTTGGTCTTTGTATGCACCTAGTTTTTAGCACAATTTACATATTTTGTTGCATATATATATTGGTTAATAATACATTTTATAAAATATAGTTATAGATATATATATATTTTTCTAGTAACTAATCTATTACTGTTATAATATTATAGTCCCAGGTATTTGTGGACCAAGCTTTTTTAGAAAGGATTAATTGTCAGAATTTCACAATTTGTTCAACAAAGTACTTTAATACCTTTTTTATTTTAATTTTTTTGGTATTTAGTAATTGGTATATATGTTTCTCACTCTTATAGTATTACTTCATGTTGGTAAAAAAAGGCTCCAATCCTAATAATAGTTTCATTATTTGTTTTAAGGTTATTATGTTAAGCTTTAAAGTTCTTATAGGTATTTTTCCAGTTTAAATAAAGAAATGAAACTACTTATAGTGATATTTCTTTAATGATAGTTGTTAATTATTTTTGTGCACTACTATCAATATTCTTCTACTGTGGCTACAATGGAAAATGCAACGTGAGAGGGGCTAGAAACAATTTTAGATTCTCACATTGTTTCTTTCACCTCATACACAACAATAACAGTCTCTTATACAATATCACTTGCTTCTTTTGATCCCTACAAAAGTATTAAGAAAATATGTAGTTGTTGTTAACTTTGGATAAAAATTAAACAAACCTCAGATGTAAGAAACATTTGCTAGAATATTTGATTGTCTTGCAGTTGTGCCAATGTTTCTTATAAAGCCAAATAAAATTATAGTATGTAATATATACAAGCTAAAGAGTTGATATACCTTGTCATGTATATTGTGGCAGCCATAATAGCAATGGCTTCTACTAGTGTGGATGTAGGCTACAAAGCCATACAAGTTAATCATAATTAATACACATAGCCAAGAAGTAACAAACCTCCTTTTCATGTGTATTATTTGACATATTCACCATTTGTTATTCATTTACAATTTGTGTTAATGGTGGTGTAAGCTCTTTTTCCACTTCTTGGTATTGTTTTCTTGATATTTGAGCAAGATGCTGCACAAATGCTCCTTAATGGGGCTAAAATGATTTTACATGCATCTTTGCTAGTAAAGGAAAACTCAAAGAGTGCAATTGTTGGGCAATAGTGCCACCTAGAACAAATCAATTGATTAGGGTATGTCAGTTTTTAGTATCAATTTCAATTCTTTAATGTGGATTGATCAGATTGATTTGCCCACTACAAGCTTCTCTATAATGCAAGCTACTTTGAAATTCTAAAAGTGTGCTTAAGTTCTTCCAACACATGTTGCTCCTCATAGAAAATCCTTGGCAACCACAAGAATTTGGAACAACTGGCCCTTCCAAGGAATGGAGAAAGTGTTCTTCCCAAAGCAAAGCAAAACTTTGGGCTTGAAATGGAAAAACTAATAAACCATTCACCATTGCTGTTGCTACTCCTAAAGAAATCATTCAATTTTTGTGGCTACTCTTGATACTTGGATTTAAGGTGTCTTGGATCTCTTGATGCACGAACAACTAAAGCAGAACTGTAGTGGAAGAAGGATTGCTATTGGCTATACTTGCAGTAGCGCCATGGTTGGTGTACTCCGAAAATCTGCAATCTATACCTCAACTTCTACATTTAGATCACTCCCATGGTACCTACTTTGTGACAAAGGCTAATTGTGCTGTCTGTGGATTATGACCATTTCTCCATAATCAGTAGATCTCAATGAAACCAAGCGCTTCTACAACAAAGAGCTCTCAAAAGGAAGACCAATTTGTAGAATGTGTATTTCATTTGCTTAAAGCTATGTCCTAGCTTCATTCTTCTTTTGTTTTTTTTCCTGCTGCATTTTGCATAATTTTCTAATTTACATTGGAGACACTAATGTCAATGAAGAAATGCGAGCTCTTGGACTAAACACAAAAAACATGGTAGAAGACGATAATGATGTAACTCGACTAGAACTAAACAGAGGGGCAATTGCCAACAATTGACTAGTAAAAAGTTTCTTAAACATATGGTTAAACTACCCTAAAAAAATGGTTTATTTTAAAATTGGTTCCGAGCAAGGTAGGCTTTTGGTTTCTTGTCTTGCTAAAAGACCCTAAGTAGAAGAACTAATTTAATGGGCAGTGTTAAAGTTTTATGAGACATTAAACTACATTTAAAGGTAAAAGAAAAATTGATTTTTAAGTGGGCATTTTAGGGTTCTTAGAGCTTAGGGATCAGGGCTCTTGTACGAGTACCAGCGCGCGACCGGCACAAAGATCGCCAGATTCACGAGGCTCAGCCCCAAGATCAGCCAGTAGTAGCGCTCCAGATGCCCGGAATTCACACCGTTCCGGAGCCACGACGGCGCCGCGCGATTGACGCAGGGAATGCTCAAGAAGCTCCCCACACCCAGGTTCGCGAGCGCCAGGGACGTGCCCAGGCTGTGGAAGGTGTCGGGCGATTGCTCGTGGAAGAATTCCAGCTGGCTTGAGTTTGTGAGGCCCTCCGCTATGCCCAGCACCACGTAGTGCGGCACCAGCCAGAAGATCGTGACGGTGGTGGTGGGATTCATCCAGGCTTTTCTCTTGATTTCCATCAGCGCTGCGATGCCCAGGCCGATGGCGGCGATGAAGATTCC